CAAGGTGAGCCTCCAGTTCACCCGCCACAGCCTGACGGCCAGCATGTTCGACCTCTCGGTCAAGGAGAAGCCCCGATCGCCCTTCCGGAGGCTGAAGGACAAGGTGAAGGGCCGGCAGAAGTACGACCTGGAGTCCGCCTCGGCCATCGTGCCCAGCAGCAGCGGGGCCCTCGACCCCGACGGGGGGGACGGCGAGGAGGAGGAGGACGGCGGCTTTGGCCTGGCGGGCCGGAAGGGCAAGGCGAAAGGCGGGGGCGGCTTCTTCTTCCGGAGCAAGCTGCGCAAGTCGTCCCTCAGCCAGTCCAACACCTCCCTGGGCTCCGACAGCACCGTCTCCTCGGCGGGCAGCCTGGCGGGCCTCAGCCTGCCCGAGAGGATGAGCCAGTCGCCCAGCCGGCACAGCAGTCTCTCCGCTGACCCCTCGGGTAAGTAAGAGGGGGCAAGGAAGGAGGGAGGGAGGGAGAGCCAGCCAGCCAGCCAGCGGGCAAGCCGGCCCTTCTCTGGGGCATTTGAGCGACTGCCTCTGGCTGGCCAAGCGGGCACACGCGCCCAGGATGACCCAGGAAGGAGAAGGCATTTCAAATATTAAATTAGTGCTTGTTTATATGGTCAGATCTGTGGCAGTGATGTGGCAGCAGCCACGTTCTGCCTCCCTCATGGCCAGCAGGTGACACCCTGCGGTGTGTCCCTCTCAAGTAAGATTTCTGAGTTGTCTTGTTGTGGTCCCCTCGCCCCAGCCAGCGCTTTGGCTCTTCTGAAGGGGTCTGTCCTGAAGATGCTGAACGGAATAAATCCATGAGACCAACACTGAGGCCCTAGAGAGAGGGACGTGCCAGCCGCTGGGACCCTGCCTAAAATTTCCTCCCTGACCTCGCCTGGAGGAGTCAGCCACCCCCCCCATCCTTAGCACCACCCCAGCATGGCCGCCTTCTACGGGGCAGAGCCAGTGGTCCATCCAGTCCGGTGCTGAGCTCCCTCCTGGCCCTCCACGTCTTCCACACCCTGCCAACCGGGAGCCAAGGTCTGAACAGGGCTCCTCCAGCACAGGCTGCCTTCATGGGCTGCAGCCCCCATCGGTCCTTCCCAGCAAAGCCAGAGGCGAAGGAGGATGGGAGCTGTAGTCAAGCGGCTCGTGGAGGTTCAGATGTCTCCTTGCTGTAGCATGAGAGTCTCCTGCTCACATTGCTTAGCCCACCAGAGGCGGTTTGAGGGAAGCTGCCCAGGTTGATCTGTGCCTTGCCTGCTCAGGTGGCTGGAGTCCCTCCTTCCATGTGGCTTGCTCAGCTGCCTTGCTGGATCATGTCTGTCAGAGACCCCCGGGAGTTGCTCCCACTTGGCATAGACCATCCTGGGTTAGTCCATGGGCCAGTGGTGGGACTTGGCAGGGATGTGCTGAAATGCTCAGCCCGACGGGCAGGAGCCCTAGTAGGAGGTGAGTTTTGGTGAACAGCAGCTGCTGGCCTCCTTCCATGTGGCTTGCTCAGCTGCCTTGCTGGATCATGTCTGTCAGAGACCCCCGGGAGTTGCTCCCACTTGGCATAGACCATCCTGGGTTAGTCCATGGGCCAGTGGTGGGACTTGGCAGGGATGTGCTGAAATGCTCAGCCCGACGGGCAGGAGCCCTAGTAGGAGGTGAGTTTTGGTGAACAGCAGCTGCTGGGCTCCCCCCTTCCTTCCTTCCTTCCTTCCTTCCTTCCTTCCT